GTCCAATGATTTGATTTAAAGCTGTACATTTACAGCAGCAGCAAGCCTGTTCTGTATTCACAGTAAATTGAGCAAAAATGTAAGCATACTTTAAGTAATAAATTAATTATAAATATATTAAAGTTAAACACACTAATTTACAGTATAAGTAACGTAAGAGAGAGTACAGTGTGTAATTGTAGCTATATTTCAGTTAACGCCACACACTCAGTTTTTCTAAAAGCCACCAGACACACAAATTGTTAGTACTTTGGAAAAAGGAAAGCTACAAAGTTTGGTGCTATAAAGACAAACCCATTGAGTGAGCCTGAAGAACGATGCTAATGCCAAATGAGACGGTGGCTAATCAGAGAGAAAATTATCTTTACCATGTGATCAGTGAATGTCCTGTCAAAGACGTACACAGGCTTACACTCCAAAAACACAAAATAATCAGTAAAGCAAGTTTAAAGTGGATTGGATGAACTGTTGTCAACAGAGGCAAAGAACAGAAACACACATGCAGGCCTCTTGGACTGAGTAGTGCGATATGTGACGTGCTTATCCTCAGATTAGGGGTAAATCATCGTTGTTGGAGGGATAACACTGCACAGACTAAGTCTTTGTAGAAAATAGATCCAACTGTTATCTGCACTGAGTGGTTTAGTGCATCTCTTCAAAAAAGCAATGCACTGTGTACAGTTTGCAGCTTTTTCCATGCACACATCTTTGGGAGAGCCTGTGATGGATGTAAAACCAATGTCACTGTTAATTGCATAAATAAATATTCATATGAGCAATAACTGATGGAAGAATTTCAATTGTTTGATCTTGTGTGTTGTACAGGTAGTTCTCAACTGGGGGCAACCATCGTGGATGCAGTAGATACTCTGTACATCATGGGTCTGCACGAGGAGTTCAAGGATGGCCAGGAGTGGATTGAACAGAATCTGGACTTCAGTGTGGTGTGTACCCACCTTCCCTCTCTACACATAAAATACCCAAGAACACTTGGGTATAATTAAGCCTTCCATTAATATCTTAATGATGGTCTCCAGCTTGTCCACATAATGCTCTTAAGAATGTGCTGCTGTCATAAGAGATGACTTGCACTTAAATAAATGTCACCAGAGTGCTCATTGATCTGATGCATGCTTTCTTGACATGATTTTTCATCAGCCCATCAGCACTATTAGACCATAAATAATATGCAAACATTACTCAAAATCCCTGTGAATGTTGGCACTGAATTGTCACCAATTAATTTATCTAGATTGTATCACTCCAATGTTGCTGTTGGAAACTATTAGACTAGAGAATATTTTCAGTATTTATCCTCATATCGAGCATTATAGTAATAATGATTTCAAACATTGCTTCATTCAGGCTGTGTTTTGCAGTCACAATCGTGACTTTGTCCTCTATCCATTTTCTTCTCCCTTCCTCTCCTCACAGCCTTTTCTGTTAAGTGTTTCTCATTTCCATGTCTTGTCCATCAGTTCAGCAGCTCCCCTCATTTATTTCCTCGGCTTCAGTCTCCCATCACCAGCTTTTCTTTCCTTCCTTTCAGATGTCAATCACCTCTTTTTTTAATAATAATAATACTAATAATAATGGATTGCATTTATATAGCACTTTTCGGGGCCCTCAAAGCGCTTTACAATTCCACTATTCGTTCACTCTCACATTCACACACTGGTGGAGGCTACAGTTGTAGCCACAGCTACCCTGGGGCAGACTGACAGAAGCGAGGCTGCCATATCGCGCCATCGGCCCCTCTGGCCATCACCAGTGGGGGGTAGGGTCTTGCCCAAGGACACAACGACCGAGACTGTGCTGCTTGCTAGGGCTGCAGCTGTTGATTATTTTAGTAATTAAGTAATGTATCAATAATTCCATCGATTAATCGAGTAATCGGATAAGAAATGCTGTTCTCTTATTAATGAACACACAGGTTTTTCAAAATGAACTACTCGTTGGTTTCCATTTTTAGAAATTGCAGTTTTTTTAGAGCAAACAGCTGTCAAAAACAAAAAGAAAACAACTTAACCCTTTAAAATGGCACGTAAATACAATCAAATTACATTTTTTAAAGAAAATATTTTCTTAAATGCAAAAATATATAAATAATCTCAAATAGAACCAAAGTCAAAATAAAATAAGATATACATGGAATCTAACCTAAGGCATATCAATTGACCTTCAGTGGTGATCACAGGAACAGTGCTGCTGTTTAGGACGCTAGAAACATGTTTTCTTTCTCAGTCTCGGTGATGGCGCCGCTGCCGCCGCTTTGCTCTTCACGGTGTGTAAACAGACTCTGGCTCCACGTTAAACTTTGACACCATCATCATCATCATCTCTGCTGTTGTGTTATCAGTGTGTTTGCCCTTAATGTCAAAGTTTTATTGTCACGTTGCTCCTGAATGCGTTTATATTGCAGGTGTGTTTTTGTTGCAAACGTGGCACCATAGTGACAGTGGCACGCTACAGAGCCATGTGTTAAAGGAAGCATCGAAGCCGAGAATTTGTGTTGAGAATTATTTTGTAATTGAAGTATTCAAATTATGCAATGAATTGTTGCAGCCCTTCTCCTCCTATATACTCCATTATTAGCATTTTCTGCTCTTAAGCTTGCTTCTTACAACTCGCCTCATTCACCCATTTACACACATTGACATAAACACTTTTTTCTATGCTTTCCTACCTAAGTGTTTACTATCTAACATTCGTACATAACCCCCGAAGTTGGAAAACAACTTGGGAGTTAGTATCTTGCTGAAGATATTTGGCATGCAGCCTGAAGCAGGAATTGACCAACCTTCTGATTAGTAGATGAGCTGCTCTACCTCCTGAGCCAAAGCAGCTCACTCATTCCCCATCTTTCACTACTCACTCGCTCCTCGGTGCATTCTCAGCCTTTAAAAGTGCCTCTGTATTTCTAAATAATGTGGATTTACATGTAGTCTTGTTTATTCTAATCAGTTTTCCCTAAATTCAATTCAGTTATTCTGTCCACATTCTGGCAATCCTCTTCTCTTTTTATTCCTGTCTTTATACCGGTACCAAACTCTGGTGCCCAAGCTTGTTAGTACCCCTACTGAGCCAATCACAGGACACCAAGCAGTTAGGTAGAGGGGATCTAACAGCCTGACACTTGGAGGGCTAATTAACCTCGGGACCACTGTGGTTCTGCAGAGAAAAGAGGAATGGAGAGAGTGAGAGGAGAAAGGCTTGGATTGCATGGAGGACATGGGTGAAATTGGGTTAGGAGAAATGCAACTGAGAGAGAAACTGAAACTGGTCAAGATCAGTCACAGTTTAGTTGAATGGAAGGAGGAAGATTAGGGGGGGAGAGCAAAATGGCTGCAATATGGGTAAAATAGATGGGCAAGGGAAGGAGGAAAAAATAAAGGTTAAGAAAAGAAAAGATGGGGAGAAAAGACAATTATACATAAAGATATAGTACTGACTCTGTACTAGTAAAAACAAATCAGTTTGGGGTTGCATCAGACCCGTATAAAACAAACTATTTCAAGCTCTATGGATAGGTGTTGGGTTGAGAGTCACTTGGCCTCACTTCTGCTAAATTAAATGACTGAACTGGGCCTGTTCACTGTGCTGTTGTTGCCTTTTGGACCATATTTAATGGAACTACATAGTACGAGTTATTTACAGTCCATGAGGGCAACTCGTTTATATAAAGCTTTTTTAAGAGAATTTAGAGACATTCATCAGCAGTTGACATGGCAGGTACGTGATAGAAGTATGAATGATTAAATACAGGCATCATGTCTATATGATCAGGCAGAAATACAGGAATAAGAAGGGTGGATATTTGTGAAGTGAAAAGGACAGAGGAAAAGAGAGATACAACGGAAGATTTTATAGTTTTTAACCCTGAGAAAACAGTAAAATACAGAAAGAGATGAAAATTGGCACAGTCATCTTACAATTGTCCCATTTGGGTTCATTAAATAAAAGTAGCAGTGTCTTCTCCAGCACAGTGATATCCAAAATACCCACTGGAGCAGCTAATGTAATAAAAGTTCTCTTAGCAGCATGAGTATGAGATTTGTGCCTTATGAAAAAGATGGAGAATTATTAAATGTAAAACAAATGCAATGACAGTGACATTGGAGATAAGAGCGTGAGGAAACAAAATTGCGAATATGCTCGTGTGAAGTAATAAAAATCAGGCAGGAGAGGAGAACCCTCTGGTTACTTAGGAGGGAGAGGAGAGTGGAGATTAGAGGGAGGAGAAGAAGAGAGAGGATGAGATTTGAAGCTGCTGTTAACAAGTGAGAGGAGGAGGGAGGCGTGTCGCTGTGTTTTCATTAATAGCCTGGTTTGATGCTCTTACACCTGTGTGCATTAGGCAAGGGATTCAGGCATAAGCTTCCAGCTATACTATAACATTCAGGAAAGGTTTAGCTAGCTTAGGCTAAACCTTAGAAATATGGTCATGGCATTACTCTGGCTTTTGCATGGGCCTTTTACAAAACAGGTAATATCCCAGCTTGGCGTGAGCCATATTTTTCTTCCAGCCTGCAGTGGCCTGGCAGTGTAATTGGCAGCAAAAGTGTTATTAAACTTGGCCCTTGTGAATATCAAAGATTTGTTCAACCTAAAGAGAGCAGCTGTACCCAGCTTCCCCAGTCAGAGCACTGAGGCTGGAACCAGGCCATAGTCTGCATTTCCATTTGGGAGATTAAATACATCACTCTTAGTCGAGTTTAATCACTTTCCGGTGCATATAGGAGTGCAAGTTGCCCAATATTACATTGAGGTTAGCTGCTTCTGTGTGTGCACCATCATTGTACTATAGTACTACAAGTACTATAAGCTACTTGTAGACGTGTGCACATCCTTAAACCAGTATTTTATTGAGACACCTTTTGGTTTAATCTCGGCATTCAGTCTTCTTGGATAGGTGTGTGTGTACACAGTATTTATTGGCTTGGCAATATTTGGCCACTCTTCCTCGCAGAAGCACTCCAAATCTGTCAGCTAGAGGGGCGTCTTTTGTGCACAGTCCTGTGCAGGTCAGTCCACAGATTGTTCTGTTGGATTTAGGTCTGATCCAAATTACTGATTTGGATGTGTACTTTGTGTCATTGTCCTGTTGGATGGTATAAGTCCTCTTCATCTGCAGCATTCTGGCACTTTTGCTGTTTGATTGGTATTTGACTGGTATAATTTCATCCACTTAAGGAGGGGGTTATATGGGACTAAAGCCCCAGTTCCAGCTGAAGAAGAGCATCCTGAAAGTGTAAGAATGCCACCACCATGCGTGGGTATGGTGTTCTTTTTGGTTATGCAACAATTGTGGAATTGTGGCCAAAAAATTCAGTCTCACACATTTTCCTTCATGCTTTTAGGAGAATTTATGCTTACGTTTGTTTGTTTTGGGTGTTTGGGTTTTTTTGTTTTTGTTTTTTTGCAAATTGTACTTGGGTTTGGATGCTTTTCTTTGCCAGAAAGGCTTCCGTCTTGCAATCCTGGCCCATAGTCCAGACAAATGGAATATACATATTGAGATTGTTGTTACATAGTACACAACTGGTGCTTTCCAGAAATTCCTGCAGCTCCTTTAGTGTTACTCTAGATCCTCTGATAGGCTCCCGAGCTAGTTTTCACCTTGTCTTTTCATCAGTTTTTGGGGGACATCCAGTTCTTTGCGGTGTCAGTTTTTGATGACTGTCTTCACTGTGTTCCTGGTATATTCAGTGCAGTGGAAACTTTGGTACCTTTCTTCTCACTGATACCTTTCAACAGTGAAATCTCTTTGATGCTTTGTAAGCGGTCTGTGAACCAGAGCTTTTGATGCAGCAGGCAACTAAGTAAATGTCAGGAAGGTCCTGCTAGGACCGCTGAACTGTATTTGGGGTTAATCAGAGTCTCTTTAATTGATAGCAGGTGTGTACCCAAGAAGACAGAACGCTGTCTGCTGCTTCAACAGCGTATTAGTTTAAAGGTGTGCCGACTTATGCAAAAAGCTGATTGTTTAAAAAAAATCCACTAACAGATTTGTTTGTTGAAATAATTGAATTGCTTTGAAATCATTGTCAGTCAGTTATTGTGGTCTCATTTTTTTTAACCTCACTAAAACCTGGTATTTAAAGAGGTATGTGTACACCCTTTATAGCAACTGTACTAAGAATAGTTGCTATTCATCATTCCATAGCATTCATTAAAGTAGTTCCAGCAACTCCAAATTCATCCGAAGATGTTGTCTTCCATTTTTTCTTAGTTTAGTTTGATATGCGGGGGAGAAGAATTCAGTGCATCATGCAATAATACACAGGAACATGTGGCTGTGGCATCAAAACTAGTGGATGGTTCAGTTCTAACTGTAATCTTTAGTCTTTTAGAAATATGTAGAGTGTAATTTACCATTTTGTTTCTAAAGTTGAATGACCTGACATCTTTGTAGCATGTTGCCCCGTTCCTAGTACCCAGTTAGTTTAGTGAGCAATAAAGTCATTAGCCTAAACAATGAAAATAAGATCCAAGTTATCAAAAACTCCAGTTGAATTGTGCTGTAAGCTGTTTTGAAGTGGACTGCGAACCATACATGAGAAAATAACAAGTATTTTTGAAATATGTGATTGCAGAGTCGTGACATTATTTCCCTTGTCTTCATCTTGCATAAACATAGTAAATTGGTCTCTCTGTGTGTGTGTGTACACAGTATTTATTGCTTAAAAGTAACTGTGTGGTTCTTGTGTGCTTTTAGCAAATTTATGCACATTTTTATTGCATATGTTACACCTGCGCTCATCTACCTCTCAATTCAGCCACCCACTTGCCACCAACACATCCTCCAGCTCCAGCTTTACCACTAATGAATGATTAAATAGCTGCCATGTCAGTTTGAGCCAAGCAGTGAGTCATTGTTGGACTCTCTAGTGTCCTGGTTAGACCCCCGCATTGCAGCTTGCCCTCAGATGATGGATGTGTCGGCATGCAAACAGCATCTATGCTAGGCCCAAACATCCAGCAAACTAATAGACTTTGTTAACTAATGCATTAATAACCCCAATCAAAATGAGGATTTGGTCTGATCCCATGCAGCAAGGAGATTGAAATACTGATTAATTCTAGCTGTTGTTTGAGCCCAGTCTGATTTCCTGGATTCATTTGAGTTCTTTATTCAGATTTGTTTCCTAGCATATGATGTTTCTGGCAATAAGAAATGCAGAGACATGATTCACAGTCTTTGACAAGGTAGAAAAGGCCACTCTGCTGTTAAAATTTTTATACCATTGCTGAGCTTTTGTGGTCCTGCTCACTTTAAACTGTCATGTTTGGCATGATTAGACACATCTTCTCCCATCAGTTTCCTTCTTCTAGAAGCCTTTTTACTGGAGGTGAAAGCAGTGACTTACTGTGTTGGCTCCTCTCGTGTCATTTCTAATGACAGACGTTAATATTTTAGCTGAATTGTCTGAATGACATATTTTATCAAATTTGAAGGTCTGTCATCAGATTTGTTGGAATACTTCAGTGAAATCACACACTGTGAATGAAACAAACAAACAAACAAAAAGATGCATTCTCACCAGCTGTTGAGATTCCAGGTTTTAATATGAATATTCTTTTGTAATTTTTTTTTAAATTACATTGTAAAATTTTATTGTTGAGCTTTTAAAACATAATGTTTTCAAATATGTTGTTTCATGCAAGTATCTTACACCAGGGATGTTTTAACATCATATAAAGGTCTGGGAATAAACAGCATTAGGGTTGGGAGAGATGTTAAAATCGACAGTCTACAAATATACATTCATGGAGGTGTGAAACTTTTACCTGTGTGTCTCTTACCTTTTATTGTTAATATAATGATTAAAATCCAGCTAATACAGAACCTTTCAGAATCAGCTTTATTGACAAGTATGTGTGAACTGGGCTCCGGCTATTTCTTTGCTTTCAGTGTACAGAACAGAGTAGACGGCAGACAATACTGAGAACATGACACCAACATGTGTAGCATGTTTATGTTGCATTTGCAGTGCGTACAGGAGTGAGTGTTGTTAAGAGCGTTAAGATAGAAGATCATATAATGAAGTGACCCTGGTGTTCTGTTTAGTAGCTCCATGACAAAATAAATGATTTCAGTCCAACTGTTTATTCCTGTGCCGCTCTCAAGCCTCACTGCACAACCTGTGTAACTTCGGCTACGTCCACACGTACACAGGTAATTTTTTTAAAACTGAGATTTTCTTTTTTTGTTTGGAAAAAAAAAAATCCCGTCCACACGTAAAACCCCAAAAAGAAAGAAAACACTGCCAGGAACATGCCAAAGCAGAAGGTGGCGATATATTCCTGTCCGTGTAGAAATGTTGGCCAATCAGAAGTCTAGAAGCCTGGGTGGGAAAGAGTAAACAAAGATGGCGCGTAGAAGCAGCACTGAGTCCTATGTGTGGATGGACAGTAGCTGTGTGCGTCTATGTAAGCATTTAAACAGCAAGTCCGCCATTGTAGAAATTCATTTCACTGAAACAATAACCTGGCGCACAGTGTGACGTCAAACTGTAGAAACAGTCATTGGACACAGTCATTGGTCCACACGTAGACGCAAAAATTGAGTTTTTGAAAATCTCCACCCTGGCAGGAGTTTTTAAAAAATCTCCATTTTCAGTGACCGAAAACGCCGTTTACGTGTGGACGAAAGGTGCAAACACATAGAAAAATCTGCGTTTTCAAAAATACCCGGGTACGTGCGGATGTAGCCTCCCACTTCCCCCTCTGTGCTCACCTCAGGCTTTTTTGTTTTGTTTTGTTTTTTAAATCAGGGTTGTTTTGTCCCTGCTTTTCATTGGGCTCAGTGCTTCTAAACTGCAGCTGTAAATGGCTAACAAGTAAAGGCTGACTCATGCTGTAGACGGATGCCAGCCTTCAGCTGGATGAGAGCTTCCCAGTCGCCACCTTTCATCAGGTTTAACACAAACCTGCAGCTCGTCTTGCTTTTCAGTGTGTTTTGTGAAGTGCTGATTGTGTGCCGGTAAAAATGAAAACCTTTTTAGTTGGGCTTAGTCTGAAAACTTTGGGTGCAGAAAGAAAATATGTGCAAGTTGAAAATAGGTTTATGCAGGCAGTATTCAACACTTTTCCCTTCCAGCACTAATCCACACATGGGATCTGAGACAGGAAGCAACTCTGGTACTTTAAGACACATTCAAACAGCTTGAAAAATAAAAATTAACTCAACATTGAGTGTACGGCTGCTACATTCTCTCTCGCTCTCTCTCTCTCTTTTTTTTTTTGCTTATACTCAAGTGAAAGCCTCAACAATGATAGGGCTTCACTATTTCAGGAGCAAATCAGACCTGTTATATCTGAGAGGCCAAAATCCACCCTGCTGCAAACAGCCCATAGATGAAGAGATACTATAGAGATTGTGGGGTTTACCTTCAAAAGATGCTCAGATTTTCAGACATGAACCACAGTATTGTACAGCTAGATGTATGCCTCTGTAGATAAGAAAAGCATTCTTTAGGGAAATGTGCCTGTGGGGGAAGGCATGCCAAGAAGGCTCACTGTTCCCTGTATAGCTCTATTGAAAAGACTTCCCAGCAGAAGCATTATCTGACAGGTTATGACAGCTCTTTGCACTGAAGGAAATGCAAGAAGCCGAGAGAGGCTCTTGAATGAATTAAGTGGACTAGATGAAGCTAGGCTGGCATCAGGGCCAGGTTTGCGCTAATGTGAGTACCGGTGCTGACCAGTGTTCAGGGCTGAGCATCACAACCAGTCTTTGAATGTTCTTGTTCACATGTGCTCCTGACTCCAGGTTAGAGTTACCTCATCAGGTTACAGAAGAGAGCGCTGTAAACTGTGAGTACTGTAATCAGTAAGGCTCAATCATAAATATTTGATGTATTTATTTGAACCATGCTGTGGCTGATCTTAACATGTTATAGCCACACAATGTTCCTGCACTCCTACGCTTCTTTCTCCTATTTGTTTACTGTAAACAGAGGTCTTTCAGCCTGCACTTTAAAAAATGTGTAGGCAGGGTTCTCTCATCTTTGGTATGTTTTCATTTCTAATGTGAAAATATCAGCGCAAGGTCATGTTGTAAATTGCAAGGAGCTCTCAGCATTTGAATGTACGGGACCCAAAGGCGTTCCAGGTGAATAACATTTCTGCATCACAGTCGCTGTGTCATCAACCATGTTGTCAGTCACAGTATTCCAATTTCCCAAACACGAGGAATGCTGTGGTTTGAAGAAGCTGCGAGGCCAGCAGTACAAGCATTGCACAGAGTGAAATCAGTCAAGTGTGTACATGAAAGTCTTAATTAGGTTCTCCATTGGAGGCACATTAATTGGGATGAGCAGCCAACTAATTTGAATTGGCAAACAATAACCATGGTAACAACTTTAGACCCAAATAATGTGCGAAATCACCTAAACCACTTTGTGTATTCGTGGTGGCTTTAGTTCAGTGTTTAATCCTCAAGACGTCTTTTCTCTCCTGTCGTTCTCACACGTTCCACTTCATGTCTGCTGGCAGGTTACTGACTTGTTGCTCAGCGCTAATGATTCAAAGATTTTTGTTTCACCTGGACAGCTTTTACTGTCTGATCTGTCTGAAAGTACCTTTCCACTTTGCATCTTTTGCTGCATGACATGCAAATTAGCAATAACATTAAGAAGCCATTGATCTTAGTGTTTTGTTATACAGCACCACTGGGCTTCACCAAAGCCAGAAATTAATACTGTTCACAGTTATGTATCCAGTGTCACCAGAGAATAGAGCCAATAGGGGAGTGCTGTTTTGCCTGTTCTGTTTAGATCTTGGGTATTAGTGATTATTTTGTGCCATTTCCTGTAGCAAGCTGCTTTATTTAATGATTTTTGTGCTGTCTTAATTTTCCAGAATGCTGAGGTGTCAGTGTTTGAGGTCAACATTCGGTTCATAGGAGGATTGCTGGCTGCCTACTACCTCTCTGGACAGGAAGTAAGTACTTATTTGCTTGTGTGTGTTATATATGAGAGTGTAAGAATTTTTTAATGTTATTTTTTTTCTACATTGGACAGAAAATTGATGAAAAATAGATGTTAGTTCAAATCACCTGGGCTATAATCCTCAAAAATGATCTTCATGTCTGTGTTGTTTCATATTTCCTCTCCTCTCCTCTCCTCTCAAAGCCAACAGGCAAATTTTGCTTCTTGGTTTAAGGAGCTGGTGAACATTAAATCCAACCATCCATCTTTCTTTTTCTGTTCTTTCCCACCTCTTCTCTGTCCATCCAATCCGCTCCAACTTTCATGCCCAGCCGAGCAGTGCTCCCTCTATAATAGGAGCAAATACATCAAACTCGCTCAGCACAACCTCCACGACTACTGTGCTCCCAAGAATTTATATGGGCGGGGTGGGGGTTACTGCCGACCAACAGATCTCGAAAGAAATCAGTGCTTTTCTTAGCCTTTTCACTTCACCACAAATACAGCTCTGACACAGTTGCTAACTTTCAATATTGTGTCCTGTAAATCCTGATTTCCCTTCCTTTAGTCTTTGTTTCTTAAACCACAACTGTCACCCGGAAGATACAGAAATCAAGCTGTTTTGTGCGAGTAGACAGCCAGTGAAGTTCTCAAAATAAACCACGATGGGCTGAGTAGGCATTTTGCATTGATTATAGGGCCACACCTTTAGATGAAGGCTGCTGTGGTTCATCTAAAGGTGAAGGTTGTTTTTGTAAAGACAATGCTATTGTCTTGTCCTGTCACCAAAATTGTTTTCTTCGTACCTTTCATGTACATTAAGAAGTAGTCTGGAAAAAAAAATTCCGGTCTTTTAAGTGACATTTGTGAAAAATATGATCAGTTTAGTAGCAGACACCCCATTCACATTAACTTGATGCTAGTGGTCAAGACTTTAGTGGCATTGTCTTGCCATTTATGCTTTGCTCATTCTGGGAAACCATCAGCTTAGTCTGCTGTCCTAATGTCTAAAGAGCACATTTTTGCAGTGAAGCCATCTGGTCAGAGAATGTGTGTGGGGTGAGCCGGTCATTTAACTGCTAAGACGAAAGCTCAATCGGATGAAAGCCAGTGGTTTTAAAATGCATTTCAATAACCGCAGTTATTCTTTTGCTCTTGATAAAGGCCTTGTACCTGCTATAGATTGCATATAAATGATAGATCAGAGGCAGGGTTGCTAATTTGTCAGCTAGTTAAATGTGTTTTTAGACTGTATGGCTTTAATAAACGTAATCATTAGCTGTACCATGTAGCAGAGACATCAGAACTATTGTTTGTACCAGGCTGTTAGCGAACTTTTTCATGCTGCAAAGTTGGGCTTTTGTATTATGGGAGGCTGTGTACATGGACTCACTTTTAGAGCTGGACTCAAGTAGCGATTTAAAAAGTGATGGCAGTTCCACATTGGCTTCATTTCAGACCTGGAGTCTTTCACTTGGTTGCTTGCATGTCGCCAAAGCTTCCTTACATAAGTTCAATAGATGAAGATAATATCACAGACGTAAGGCAGCAGTTTCACTGGTCTGTCCCACTAAGTTTAAAGTGGGCTGTGTGTGACATCCCTGCTGTAAGGGGAAGCTGTGGCTGAATTAAAAAGAGGGTAAATATAGACGTGAGTGTCTCAAAGTTCAAGTTTTGTATTTCTTTTTTAGTTGATAGAGTAGAAAGCAAAAGCATAAACTAACCATTTATTTACAATTAGATTTTGGTTAACAGCTGAGGAGAAATCCAAAACACTGATTTGAAAAGACCGTTAAACACCCTAAAAGTAACACGTTTGTTTTGTTGGGTAATTAAAGCCATGAAGAGAACAGATTAGTCATTTGCAATGTTTCAGAAGCAGATTAAAAAAAAAAAAAACAATCTTGTTCTGCCCACTCACTGAAAAATGCCCAACAAACTTTACTCAGTCACGCTGAGTGTCCAGAGGTTGTGGGTTGGATTTATGGAACCGATAAACATTGTGATAATTTACTGCGAATAACAACAGAAGCCCAAGTGGCTCACAAGCAAAACTTAATGCCACTCTTGTTCCCCACACTGCACTTCACCTCCTATTCCCTTGCTCAATTTCACTTCCCCCACCCAAATCAAACTCAGTCATTCATCAGAGCCCACTGGAGTGATAATAGAAGCAGTGGGAGGTGGAAAAAGAGGGAAATCGAGCATGGGAGGGCTTAGAGGAGAGACAGTGATGGAGGGAACAGAGGAGAGGGTGGAGAAACCTGTGCGATGGGAGAGTGAAGATGAGTGGAGGGTGTTTGGAGGTGATTGTTACAGATAAAGAGATGTGAGTGGGGAGTGAGGATGATGAATGGCTCTGGAGGGGAAAAAGCAAGTCAGATTCATTCTTCACTCTCACTGAACATGTCCTTGAGCAAGGCATTAGTATATCCTTGTAGCTGTATGTGTGTGGGACAGTCACAGATAGTGATGGATTGATTTAGAGTTAACGCAAGAAAACACATGGCTCCAAACAAATGCACAGAAACACTAATGCTCTGGTTTTGTATACATTTTGCTTGTGTTCTAATCTGAACCCACATGTAAAGATAAATAAGCATTAATTAAAGCCCAGAAGTACTCATCTTCCAGAGGTCGTTTACAGAGCTCACTGCCTCTATAATGGCTCTTTAACTATACAAAACTGAGTTATTTTCACTTAAAAAGAAAAGTTTTTTGTTTTAATTTCAACTTCAGTGAATACGCAAACATGGACGCTAGTACCTCAGTTGTTATTTTTCCCCTTTTTGATTATATTAAGAATATTTTTTTTACATACTGTATATTCCTGCACAGAATACAGCTTCACAACATATATATATTTACTAGGGGTGCAACAATACTCGTATCGATATTGAACCGTTCGATACAGTGCTTT